CAGGCCAGCTGGGGCTACAGGGAGACCCTGTCTCAAAAAGACCAAAAAAAAAAAAAAGATTAGAGGTGCATGTGTAAACATCTAAGTGTTAGTAGCATTAAAAATGAGTTTTTCTGGGCTGGAGAAATGGCTCAGTGGATAAGAAAACTCATTGTTCTTGCAGGAGACCTGGGTTTGAATCCCAGCACCCACATGGCAGCTAAGAACTGTCTGTAACTCCAGTTCCAGGGGATCTGACAGACTCTTCTGTCCTCCGCAGGCATTGCATGACACATGTGCACTTACCTACATGCAGACAATACACTAATACACATAAAAATGATAAAAAAATTTTTTAAAATGAGTTTTTCTGTATGAAACAGTGTATTTTAAAATGAAATGGAGATCTTTTTTAAAGGTTAAAACTTCATTCAAAGCCAGGAGTGGTGGCACACACCCTTAATCCCAGCACTCCGGAGGCAGAGGCAGGCGGATCTCTGTGAGTTCAAGTCCAGTCTGGTCTACATAGTGAGTTCCAGGACAGCTGGGGCTACAGGGAGACCCTGTCTCAAAGAAAAAAAAAAAAAAAAAAAAAAAGCAGATGTCAGGGGATAAGGGGGATAGAGAGTCACTGCTCAACAAGGACAGTTGCCGGTTCACAAACTGAAAGGCATCTGAAGGTAGATGGTCTTAATGGTGGGAACATCATGAAATGTACATACTCAAAATGCACTTAAGAATGGTAGAGCTGATATATTTTATTGTGCATTTTACCAGGAAAAATGAAACAAAAACAACTTTTAGCTTTCAGTCTTTTGGATTTAGGAATTCTGGATGTGTGATCACATACCAATTCTTGAATATAGGGCCTACCCTTCGAGCTCTGATGCAATTTAAAATATAAGCTACGACAGCTATCTGTACCTCATTTTCTTCTACAAAACAAGTTATGGCAAACATCTTAAGTTAGGTAATAAAATGTTTCCATTGTTACCTCATGTGCTGAGGTTTTTATTATTCAGAGAACTTATCAAGAACTGCTGGGCAGATTTTCCAGCTGGTTTTGGTGTCCAGTGGTTCTATCCTGGAGGGACTCCTTGAGCCAGCACTGAGCTCCCTGACTCCTCTCTGGGGATCAGGATCTTCAGCAGTACCATGGGGAGCACTGATCTCAGCTGCAAACAAGCACAAACCCAGACAAGTCCAGACAAAATGGTCAGGAAGGAGTTTGTTTCCAGGTTCACAGACTTTGCTACCCTAGTCATGCCACTCCCTGGCATCTAGGATATCATGCTGTCCTCTCAGTTTCTGCTTGTTTCTGCCTCATATAAGAGCCCGTTCCCATACATTCCTACCTCCTGTTCTCATTCCCTGAAGTACTGCTATTAACATTACAAAGGTTAAAAACAATAATTATAAGAATTCATGCAATTGTGTTACTAAGTTTTCTTGGGCCAATTTATTCCTCTTCCAAGAAAACACAACTTCTGCTTTGCCAGAGGGTGCTTCAGAGGCAATGTTTTATCTAAGAGGCATTTAGAGGATGGGAATTAACCCTTAGTTAGAGCTATTATTTTTCAGGCACTATGCTAAGTACTTTGCACACATTATTTCATTTAATCCCCATTTAAAATTCCCCTCACAAGGCAGTATTATAAACTGATTTTTTACAGGTGAAGAAATTGAGGCTCTGAGAAAATAACTTTTTAAGGTCACATAGCCATGCAGCAGTAGATGGAGAACAGGAGCATGTCTTATTTCTAGCTCCCAGCTCCACAAAGGAGTGTGGCAGTATGAACACCCTGACAACTAGTGGAGGGTATTTTGAAATAGGCAGGACTACAGCCCAGGAGATTTCCTAACAATTGCTTCTTTCTATATTTCCATGTACCCTTTAAAACCTATTCACCAGGACATTATGACAAACACAAAATGGGAGGCTCCTTCTCAGTATAAATGTTAAATGTTGAGCATTGCTACAAGACTCATAAAATGCGCCAGTGAGAAGAGATTAAGAAGTAAAATCGGGCTGTTTGTGCACAGGCCAGGGCCACAGAGAACAGCTCAGAGCACAAGCTGAGTAGCAACTCCAAACTCAAAGTGTGGATTAGTGTCCTTGACACACAATATTCAAATTTAGCAGGTAGATAAGACTCCTAAATTGGTCATAGGTGGCTGAAGCCATGCTTGTTGCATGCTACTTAAACAGGTATCCCTGATGTTATGTTGGGGACATCTCTTGGAGACAAAGGAAAATATTCCTGAACTTCCAACTCTAATACAAAACCCAGGAGGGTGGGAGTGTTTTTTACTGCTTTTTTCCCCAATATACAGAACAATGTCTAATATGTGGTAACTAAATACTTCAGTAAAAAAATTAATGACTGTCTTCCCTTCCTTTCCCTAGAAATCCTTGTAGTCTCTTATCTCTGCTCATACCACATTTATACCACATTTTCTAGGGATCTTTCCAAATCTCTAAATTCTTCTCTCCAATATCCAGTTCTCTGTCTTTCAGCAGAAGCAGGTGTAAAATAAAAAAAAAATTATTGAGTATATTTTTGTTTCTCATTGAGAAGCAGAAACACAGAAAACTCTCTTAGAAACAAGGGTTAAAGTGAAGAGAGGAGACATACGGTAAATATGGTGCATTCAATCTTTATCACATGCAAACTATACACTGAGATTGTAGCAGCTGTGTTTATTTCACAATGCAAGCATCTGGGGAAAAGTGCAATGTGTTTGTTTAAATGTCACCTTTGATGTCACTTTTAACATAACATAAGCATCTCTCCATGTTACCTCTTTTCTTAGAAAAATCTATTAACACAGTAACTATATATAATCTATATCACTAATTCCTAGTTCTGGTCACATACCAAACCAGGGCAGGGGAGGGGAGAATCTCTCATAAATTGTGTATTGTCAAAATGCTCAAAAATGTGTTCTAACTAATGAATTAAATAAATCTTGGGAGCAAGAATCTAAGCTTTGTTGTAGTTAACAAAAAGATCTGCATTTGAAGAAAAACATCACATACGCAAGCACACACACAGGGTTGCTATGGTAACAAACTATGTTTTTTTTCACATTTTACTCTTCAACTGTAATACAAATGCACTATTACAACCAAGTAATGTCAACATTCATTTCCTTCTGAGCATATAAAGGGGTCTCTGGAAAAAATAGTACTCACAGTTTAAGAAATTTTCACTTTTACTGATATTCTTCTCCCTTTCCTAGAAATGATAATTAAAATACATAAAATAATTAATATTCAGCACTGAGGATAAGTTTTCATTGTCATTTTACTGATGTGACATTCCTAAAATGTCAAAAGAAACATTACAACCACAAATGTCGATCTGAACCTTTGAAGTACTGTTCTCTGTGTGCATGTGCATGTGTGTATGTGTGCCCAAGTAACAAAAAGGTCTTTATGGCGACCAAGGAAAAATAAGTTTCTACAAGTGACCAGAGCATAGTGGGATGTGACTATAACCCCAGCACTGGGGAGATGGAGGCAGGCATACTGCCACCAACTTGTGATTAGCCAGGGCTACATAGCGAGATCCTGTCTCAAAAACAAAAAACAAACAAATAAGACAAAACAAAGCAGCCTACAAAAAATGTACATTTAGTTTTAGACACACAAGTGAACACACAAGAAATATCTATCTACTATCCCTAAGTATCAGCTCTATGCTTCTCTAAACTTCAACTTCACTGCCAATTTCAAAACATGCTCCTGCCAATGCCTCTTGTCTCACTTAAATCTCTATCAACTAACGAACAAAACCCTAGCCCTACTACAGCAGCGCTTTTCCCAGAGTTTCTGTCTATCATCTTTCTAACAGTCCAAGGCAGTCCTTCTCCAGTGACCTGCAGAAGGTGAACAGCGCTCAAGAATACACGGTACACTGAAAGATCACCCCAATCATGAGATGCTTCTCAGTCAAATAAATATGAATCTAATCTAATGTAGGCCTGGACAGGACAATATATGCAATGAATAACAGGCTCTCCTAAAATGGTCACTTCAGTCCATAGTGTTCAACTATTTCAGCCATCCATAGTGTTTTAGTATGTATCCTTCAATAAATTTAGGTAATTAAATGCTAGTTTCTCTTAGAACTAATGGGAAAAAACATGCATACATATCTTCATATTCTTTTTCTAACTTTCATAAAACAATTCCTCCTCCTTACCCCCACTATTTTCTAATTTAGGCCATCTAGCACTTCGCTGCTAAGTCACTGTTGTCGTTGTTTTGAGTCTATTTATTTATAGATAGGGTCTCATGTAGCCCAGGCTGGCCCTGTACTTACTATATAATGGAGGATGACCCTTGAACTCCTGGTCTTTCTGTCTCTGCCTTCAAAGTGCAAGGATAACAGGTGTATACCACCATGCCTGGCTTATGTTCAGTCTAATGAACAGATTTTCTCCAACTTAATTTTTAAGGAAGCCAATTAGAAATCCTCTCCGGGAGTTGGACAAATGGCTCAGTGGTGAAGAAGGCTTCCTGCTCTTCCAGAGAACCCAAGTTCAGTTCCCAGCACGTACATCAGGCAGCTCACAATTGCCTTTAACTTCAGCTCCAGGGAGCTCCAATGCCTCTGGCCTCTGTGGATACCCACACACATGTGCATGCACATATACACATATAACAAAAATAAATCATTTTTTAAAAGAAATCTTCTCTGAAAGATAAAAAGCATACCTCTATTGACATCTTCCATTGCAAAAAGATCATCTTCAGTGTCTTCCAGTCAAAGGGGATCACACAGTCATCAGTTAACAAGGATTCTGTGGGCAAAAGAAGGCATGGGTGACAAAGTTAATCTTCAATGTGACACAGATTTTCACTTTGAATGTGAAAGTACGCAAACACGGTACCTGAACTCGTATAATGTTCAAAGCCTTATTTTAATGGAGCTAGAGAAATGGCTGAGTGGTTAAGAGCACTGGCTGCTCTTGCAGAGGACTCAGGTTCAGTTCCCAGTACCCACATAGCGGCTAACAGCCATCCTTAACTCCAGTTCCAGGGGATCCACACTGTATGACACGGGTGCACTTACACACATGCAAGCAATACACTCATACCATAAAATAAAATAAAACAGGCTGGAGAGATGGCTCAGCGGTTAAGAACACTGGTTGTTCTTGCAGAAGACCTGGATTCGAATCCCAGCACCCACATGGCAGCTAACAACTGTCCGTAACTCCAGTTCCAGGGGATCCGATGGCCTCTTCTGTCCTCTGTGGGCATTGCATGACAGGGGTGCACTTACCTACATGCTGGCAATACATGCATACACATAAAATAAAAATAATAAATAATAATAAAAAAATAAAACAAAGTGTGATTCTAAAGGTATCTCCATGATGACTAAAGCAGGACTTTGTCTCAGATCCCAATTAGTGAACAGTATTCAGACTCACTGAAAATCCTTATGTTGTATGTAAAATGCTATGTATCCATTCATGTTTTCACACAAGGATAAATACATGTACACATCACCAGACATACATATATACATATATAATAGCCTAAAATAACAATGTCACAAGCACAATATTTAGTTAATCCTGCTTTCTTATGATATGTATGAAATATTACACAGTCCATTTAATCTCTTGCAATTTGTTCCTTTCACATATGAGTATCTGGGGGACATTCATCACAATTAAGAAGTTTATGAACAAGACCAAACACTAATAAACCATAGCATATATCAGCCATCCCAAACCACAAAAAGATACCAGCTGTGGTGGTGTTCCCTTTTAATCCCAGCCCTTGGGAGGCAGAGGCAGAGGTGGGCAGATCTCTGTGAGATCAAGGCCAGCCTGGTCCACAAGTGACTAAAACAAAACAGAAACAAAAACAAAAAAACACAACAAAAAGATATTTTTCCTATTCTCATAGTCCTATCGTTACGCATAGTTTGGTTTCTTTTTCAAATTTTTCATTTCTTTATATTTTATGTGTATGAGTGTTTTGCCTACATGTATGTCCGCAAATGTCTGGCCATGGTGCTAGAAGAGGGTGTTGGATTACCTAGAACTGGATTTATAAATAGATGTTAGCTGCCACATGGGTGCTAGGAACCAAACCTGGGTCCTCTGAAAGAGCAGCCAGTGCTCTTAACAGCTGAGCTGTGTCTCCAGCCCCATAGTTTGATGTTTACAGTCTACATATAGCCCCATTCTACAATCCTTTGTCTGCAGAGCTCCTAATGCTGAGACTCATTTGAGTCTCCAGCCTTTATCACAAGGCCACCAGTGATATGCCCAAGCCTGCTTGTCCAGCCTACTCAAGCAACTTGGTTGAGGCCTTCCACTAGTTTCCTCCTTCTCTTTTCAGCCATATGCCATTTTCAAATTGTGAAATTCTTTCTTCTTTTCTTTCAAGCCACATTCTTCTGCCTTTGTATAAATAACTGCTTGGCTTGTAATTCACTTTCATATTGAAGGTATCCCAAACAAAACCACAATCCCACATTCTCTTTAATAATCCCTTTTTAGCACTGCTAAACTTCATTCATAAATATTCATGTCTGTCATTTATATTTTCTATGTGTAGTAATTTTATTTTGTGTTAGCCTTGCCTCCTCATTTATAAACAAGATAAGCTATTTGATGAATGAGGTCTATTTCCTTTAAAAACTCTCTGAAGTTTAATTAATGAATGCATGATCATTGATTATGATGATATTGTGTATTCATGAGAAAAGCAGTTTAGAATCTTTTATAGTAGAGCCTTTGTGCTTTCTAGTGCTGATCTAGGGCAATGGTTGTTAATATTTTTAGGTCAGGGACCCCTCTAAGAAGCTAATGAAATCTATGGACTTTCCCCCTGAAAAAGGGGCACAAAATGATGCAAACATTTTTTGTTTACAATTTCAGAATATATGAATCTTGGACTAAGATTCCTGACCTAAAATGTCTTCAATTATTAAAAATTTTTTTAAAAACTGCATTTTCTTTCTTTTTTTTTTTTTCTTCAAGTTTGGAGGTGTTTTATTGCTGTTGGACATCTAGGACCACATGCCCATGTGCCATAAATAGGGAGGAAGCTATTATTCACAAAGATTATGATAAAGATGTGGTCAGAACTCCAACAATAAGCTAATGATTATGGTTCCCTTACTCTGGGATTTAGCCAATCTTGGTTTTGAGCTTCTGGGACCAAGTCTGTCTGAAATATCAGAAATTCAGAGGCAAAGCAGAAAACTGAGGAAGATAAACACTGACAGTGCATGACTTAGGTGGGAATTCTGGTAAGTACACAGTGACAGGAAGACCCAGGAGACCTGCAGAGTTAAAAGACTAGCTTCTTGGTTCTCTCAAGCTCCTGTCCTCGAAGAAGAGGACTTTTAAGGTCAGCTAGTCAGATTTTTCTCCTAATCGCTTTAGTATCCTTCCCAGACAATCTTTAAAAAACAAATTCAACTATTTCAGATGTTTTTTCATCTTTTAATCTTTACTGTTCTCTCTTGATTAATCTCATATCTGGGGGCCATAACTGTTCATAAGAAAAAAGGGTCACTGCCAAAGAAAGGAAATGTAGAAAGAAGAAAGATACTCAGGCATTTGCAGAGACCACTGGTGGCAAGAGGCAGAAGCCTGCAAAGTCAAGCATTAGCCAAGCATTAGTCAAGTTCCTTGTTTGCTTTTGCTGCTGAAAGACATCACAAGACCAATGCTGCATGACATCACTAACACAAGGGGAAAACACCTCAAACACTGCATATATTAAACTGGATCTTTTATTTTTAATAAAGAAAACCAATTTACCCATTGGACTTCCGGGAGATCCAAAAAGTTTCACTAAGTGAAAGGCAAACTCTTGTGATAATGGCAGCCCAAGGGAATTAAAATCATGGCTTATTGAATCTTGGTGCTCCTCGATTGATAGACACTGTGGGAGCCCGAGTTCTTCCCGTATCTTCAGCTCCTCATCAAATCTTTCACTTAAAATCTGAGTATCAGAGGAAGACTTCAAAGAATACAAAGTGTCAGACTGGCTACCTAGCATTTCTTCAGAAATAAACCCTACATCAATGAATTTCTTATCTATTCTTTTCTGAGATTTGAAAGTCAAAAATGCTTTTTTGTTGTTAATAGACACCATGCAAAAACTAGACATATAATGTGGCATGAGAGAAGGAAGAGGATTTTTATAAAAGTACACAGCACGCCCTCGTCTATTAAATAATAGGCAGCGAGAATCAAAGTGTCCACCGATGCTTCGAGGAGAACCTTTGGTAGCATCAAGGTAAAACCATGACGGATGATGATCAAAGGTCATAATTTTTTCCTTTTTCTCTTCTTCATTGATTATTTCTGAAAGTGTATCTTTTTCTTCCCAAATAGTGTTCAGTCTATGATTTTCTGTTAACAGGTCACATAACTCCCTGTCTTTGGTGTTGATATGGGTCTGTCCCAGTAAGTTAAAGTCTGGTGGCAAATTGTGAATCCTTTTCTGCATCCTTTGCTTCTCCTGTGATGATTCTAAAGGATGCTCTGGGATGTTCAGTTGAGGTAAGCAGCTTCTAAAGACACGTGTTTCTGGGTTTCTGAGTAGATCTACAGCTTCAGTTGCAGGTGGCAAATCTTTTTCTATGAGCTTCTCCTCCATCAGTATTTCTGGGTGTCTTCCTGAGCCTGCTGCTCCTTCAGAAGTGGAAATCAACTTAATCAAGTGTTCCTTGCTGTCGGGACAGTTCAGTCTATGTGATCTATCTTTCTTTTGTCTCTGTTCACACACAAACTTATGAGGGCCCTCAGGCCAATTGCTAAAGTATGGTTGATTCTCAAAGCCCAACTGTGATTCCTCATCAGACAACTTGGTTGTAAAAAAACCCCAGTGGTTGTTTCTAATTCCATGTATTTCTTGTTCTTCTCTTAAAGTTTTCTCTAAAGTTCTAGATTCACGTTGATGGTACAGAACTAGGTCACCTGGGCAACTTTCATCTATTGTCTCTATCTTCTGCACAGATGAACATGGGGCTTTAGCAAATATATTCTGGGTACCTATGGCTAAGTTATGCCCATTTCCCATGTGCTTGTCTACCTTCATGCCTGAGCAGTCATCCCTTGTTTCACAGGAGAGATATTGAGTCCTCATGTGACAAATGACAGAGCCTTCATCTGGTATTGATGATAAAGTTAGAAGCAAGTCATCTTCATTAGGGGAGCAATTCTTTGGTGTGTTGTCCAACACAACTGTAGGCATAGCATTTTGAAAACTGTCTGAAGGATCTATGTTTTTCCGACTTTTTTCTTTAGAGCCATATACAAAATTCCCTACTTCGTTTTGTAGGTAACGAGTAAAGGGATCCCTTGATTCTCTTTTGGTTTCTTCGCAATCTTCCTCTGCATTCAGAGATGGAGCCTGATCTCCTGGTATACAAGAACTTGAGGTTGCAAGTAAGTTTTCACTAAGACTATTATTCTTTTTGTTTCTTTTTCTATTTCTGGATTTCTGTTTGATTTTACCAAGCCTGTACCCAGTTTCCTTCAAAATTCTTTCTCTGAAAAATAAGAGAATAAAATTTATAACTTAGCTTTTCTAAATTAAAAAATTTTTTAAATATTTATCATTTTTATTTGTGTGCATGGGTATATTGCCTGCGTGTATATAAGTGCACCAGTGTTGTGCAATGCCTTTGGAAGTCAGAAGAAGGCGTCAGAGCCCCTGGAACTGTCAAGGACATTTGTTAGTTGCCATGTGAGTGCTGGGAATCGAACCCAGGTCCTCTGCAAGAGCAGCCAGTGCTCTTAACCACTGAGCCATCTCTCCAACAATTTATTTTTATTTTATGTGTATGTAAGAATACCAAGTTTGCAATGACTGTAGAGGCCAGAAAAAGGTGTCAGGTCTCAGAACTGGACTTATGGACAGATACTACCCTCAATATAGGTGCTAGGAACCGAACCCACATCCTCTGCAACAGTAGCCAGTGCTCTTAACTGCTGAGCCATTGCTCCAGCTCCCATCACTTAGTTTCTAATATAATATTAGCAGATTGTTAACACCAATATCATAATGTGCAAAAATCATTAGTACAAGAGTGCTTGTATACTTTATACTATATTTTTAAATTACAAGAGATTTTTAAATCCTCTAAACTAAAAATAAGTATACATTGAAGAAGTTAAAACTCACATGCACATACTCATTTCATAAACTAACAATTTTTTGAAAACCTAGTATTTAAGAAAAATATTTCATGTGTTTATATAACACCTAACAACAGATATTTTATATTTTGTGACATCTTATTTTGTAAATGAATTGATAAACTTATTTTAATCCTATTTAGAACCCCAGCAATAACTTTCTTGTAATTAATCAGATTTTATAATATATTAGGTTTTGAAAGATTAAAAACTAGCTGGTATGGTCTCAGCATAGCAGAATATTTTAGTGGCTTTAATGACTGTTTACCTAGACATAAAGAGTAGCAATTAAGTTGTTCCATCAAATTATATACAATGGTTAAGAATGAGTACTTCGGTCCAACATTTGGATGAAATATTTCTAAATGTCTAGCTAGGAATGGTCCTAAACCAGAGGCTATACCACTAATTTATGAGGTGTTTGGAAACGTATAATGCATTTTTCTTGGTCACAATGACTGGTAATTTGACACTGGTTTTTGGCATTGTAGTCAATATGCTAACCATACTATAATGCCCAGTGACAAGTTTCCCACTCAAAAGGCAAACAGAATTCTCATCATGCACAATTAAAGTGCATAGCTCTGCATAAGTAAAAACAATACTTGAGGTTCCCAGGCATGTCCAGTTTGTGGCCCATGGGTTGCATGAGCCCCTGAATAACTAGGAATGCAGCCCAACACAAAATTGTAAGCTTACTTAAAACATTAAGAGTTTTTTTAAATATATAACTCAATTTTGCCATTCTCAGGCATGAACTTTATAGATAACAAGGTCATGTAGCAGTGTCAACAAGGTGGATACTCCTGAAAGATGATGCTAAGGACAACACCTGATCCTTTTTGAGGGTTTAGTAAACTTCCTAATTTTGTGAACATAAAAGCTAGTTATCCTCTCTTCCACACTGAATAATCAGAGTCAGAGAGAAGGCACCAATGAAGACTGAAAAGTGCAGTGAGAGGACAATAGACATAGGAGAGGAAAACATCAAGTACAGAGCAGCTGAAAGATGAGCAAACAAACAAACATGGAAGGGTAAAAAACATAGAGCTACAGGCAACAATCAGGTGATTGTTCTCAGGCTGGGCACTGGACCAGTGAGTGTGGAGATGACTTTTCTGGGAAAGACTCATTTTAACAAGCCTTTACAAATTGAAATTTCACATAACCTTGTAAACCAAGTTAATCATATGTTTTGAGAACTTTTAGAACTGTATATTCCTTTGAAGAAAAATAATGTAATCAGTCCTACAATGATTTAGAATCCTAATGTAACTCTGACAATCTAAGCTGAATGCATAGGTTTGTTTTTGGGGGGTTTTTTTTTTTGGTCTTTTTTTTGAAACAGGGTCTCCCTGTAGCCCCAGCTGGCCTGGAACTTACTATGTAGACCAGGCTGGCCTTGAACTCATGAGTTCAAGGAGTGCCTCCCAAGTGCTGGGACTACAGGCATGCACCACCATGCTCGGCCTGAATGCATAGTTTTAATCTTATATCATGTTTCCTATTTGTGACTCAGTTATGCCCAATTCGGAACAATGTATGTATGCCTGAAATACAATAGTGTTGTAGTTGAAAACAATAAAGATGTTGCAAAAATCTTCCTCACAAATGTTACAAGCAATATGGGGGCATAGGCTGATGAAATCTGTGGCTTTCGGTGCTATTCTGAGTCAGTGGGGTCAGAAAAACAACTTTCTTCGTAAGACTGTTATCCAAGATTGTTCATGCCTTCTCCCATACCATGCTCAATATGCTGCTCAATTAAAATAAGAGGACGCGCTGTGCTAGACAGAAGAATAGAATAGAATAAAATGGAATAGAGTAGGTTAGGAAAGTAAATAGGAGCAGAATAAAACTGAGAACAGTTCTGAGGGAAAGTATAGAGTGTCTCAGAACAAGTCAGGCCCACTTTTAGTTAAACTACTTCAAGAGTGAAGACTTTTCTCTTCATTATGGCACCATCACAAATGAGCATTTTTAAAGTTTTACTTATTTATTCACTGATTCATTCGTTTATTTGTGTATGTGATGTTTGTGCAGGTGCACTTGCTGTTGAGCATGCATGCAAGTAGAGGACAAAAGTCAATGTTGGGGCTCTTTTCTATCATTTCCCACCTTGTTGAAACAAGAGCTCTCACTAAATCTGGAGTTTACCAATTTGGCTAGGCAGGCTGGCTGGCTAGCAAGCCCCTAGGGTTTGCTTATCTCTGCTTCCCCAGTGCTGAGATTACAGGCACCAGGAATCTGACTTTTTGCTTTCTTATGTAGGTGCTGGAAATCCAAACTCAGGTCCTCACAGTTATGCAGCAAACACTTTACCCACTGAGCCATCTCCCAAGCCCCACCAATGAGCTTCTTAAAAATATTTTATTGCCGGGCGTGGTAGCACACGACTTTAATCCCAGCACTTGGGAGGCAGAGGCAGGCAGATCTCTGTGAGTTCAAGGCCAGCCTGGTCTACATAGTGAATTCCAGGACAGCTGGGGCTACAGGGAGACCCTGTCTCAAAAAGACCAAAAAATTTTTTTTATTATTTTTATGTGTCTGAGTGTATTGCATGCAGAGGTCAGAAGAGGGTGTCAGATCCTCTGGAACTGAAGTTATAGATGGTAGTTAGCCACCCTGGGGGTGTTAGGAACAGAACCTGGGTCCTCTGCAAGAGCAGACAGTGCTCTTGACTGCTGAGCCATCTCTCTAGCCCCACCAATGAGCTTCTTAAACCTATCCTGGTCTCTAACCAGTAGGCTATGATACTAAATAATTGTTCACAGACAGGACATTAGAATACCCTGTGTTCATGTCACCTAATCTCTGCTGCTGCCCTTGTTCACAAATTCCTAAGTGTTAGCTTAGAAAGAACAGAAAGGAAAGTTAACGTCCCTAGAAGCAGCTATCTGAAAAGATACTGAGTAAAGAATGCCATCTTTGGTAACAGATCTCATTTAGTGTCAGTTCTTCTGACTCCAATGAACATTCTAGTTAAAGTCTGAAGTGCAACATTAGCTATAAAATCCATCCTGAAGCTGTCTTAGAACTCACCATGTAGCCTTAACTGGCTTTGAATTCTTGATCCTCCTGCTTCAGCTTTTCAAGTGTTGGGATTACAGAGATGTGACACCATAATCAGCTGATCTTTTTTTCATGTGTATGAGTGTACTGCCTGCATATATGTAAGTGCACCTGTGCATGCAATGGCTGCAGCAGCCAGAAAATGGTGTTGGATCCCCTAGAATTGGAGTTATGGAGGATTGTTAGCTGCCATGTGGGTGCTAGGAACCAAACCCTGGTCTTCTGCAAGAGCAGCCAGTGCTCTAACTGCTGAGCCATCTCTCCAACCCTATTATTATTAAAGAAAACAAATGATCTGAAAACAGTCAACTAGGAATGTCATAGAATACTTGTCTAGCATTCACAGGGTCCTGTAAGGATGTTGCTATGAATAATTTGAGGAAGTGGCTACATGCTGAGAATGAGGGCTGGTAAATCAGTTGTCTAAAAATTTAGTTCAGAGTTCAGCTCAGGGGCTAATCTGTTCTTACAGCAGACGCTAATAAGTAGACAAGATAAGGGCTTCCACAATATTCCTCAAAGGTTCCTTTTTCTTTTTTTTTAATTTTATTTATTATTTTTATTTTATGTGTATTCATGTATTGCCTGCATGTGGGTATGTGCACCCATGTCGTGCAATGCCCGCGGAGGTCAGAAGAGGCTGTCGGATCCCCTGGGACTGGAGTTATGGACAATTGTTAGCTGCCATGTGGGTGCTGGGATTCGAACCCGGGTCTTATGCAAGAACAACCAGTGTTCTTAACCGCTGAGCCATCTCTCCAGCCCCCCCTTTTGTTTTTCTAAATGGATTACAATATAATAACTATTTAGAGAAAAGATAATAGGGACTTATTAAAGATAATAATCCATTATGCCTAATAGAGGAGTGACCACATGGATCAGGAAAGAATGAGGTAGCACAAACAAATAAAACAACTCTAAGTTTGAAGCTTCAGGTTACTTACTAAAGCATTTTACTAAGAGGTTATCAAAGGCATCTGTAGGGATCTAAATTGTGATGGAAAATCCAATACAATCCCAAGTCATACGACAATCTGAAGATTGCTTTTACAAAGACTTGTTAGAGACATGTACTACTAGTTCTATGCCATTGATGCTTTGTTTTTGTGTGAGACAAAACCTCCAGGCTAGCCTCAAACTCCCAGCAAACTGCCTTGTCTCAGCCTCCCAGGTCTTGGGTCTGAGCTAATACACCTGGTATCCACTGATGCTCTTTAGAGCTACTGTTCATATTCAAGAAACAGTGGGCCAGGCCCTCTGGAAAAGAAACATGAATCAC